GATTCCTCATTCATGGTAGTTGTTGCAAGGTCGGCTTTTAAGTTTACATGTTTGTTGGGTTTGGCATTTTGTTGGTTGGTTGGTTGGTTGGTTGGTTGGTTGGTTGGTTGGTTGGTTGGTTGGTTGGTTGGCCGGGCCTTCATGCCACCAGGGTTCCCTTGGGTAGGACAGCTAGTGATTTTTGTGTGGATGTGCAGCTGGAGTCGATCCAACAAAAGTCGAGAAGGTGTCTGGGTGGACTGCAGGGTAAGAAGGCTGCCTTTTCCCAGCTGGGCTTACTAGTCCTCTTAGTTTCCAGATTCGGAGCTACTTTTCCTTCGTTAGCCGCCGAGATATGGTCTGGCTTCACATCTCTACTTGTTGGTCTTTCTAAAGTAATGAAACTCAGTACTTGTGTGTTGACTTTGGTCGTGTCGCTCAATACAGTGAGAATTGGGACAAATTGTTTCATGTTCCTAAGCTTGTTTTTGTTATTGTTGATATTTTGGGGTTTTTGTTTGTTTGTTTTCACTTCTTTAGTAGAGGAATAAATAACACATTCACTTTCCATGGGGGTTATTATGAAGGGTAATAGGGAAAATCAGTAATTAAGGCTTGTTCCACCACACCCGACCTCCAGTAAGTTTTGAAATTAGTTTAAGTCGTGGAGCTTAGTTCCTTCTTGAGATCTCTTTTTTGGCTCTTGAGGTCACTTTAGGATTGCATGAGAAGTTGTTGTATCTGTTGTTATGTAGGGGAAAAAAAAAAAGCAAACGGTGTCCCTCATTCAATAAAATAAAACAGATTTGCCAGAGGTGGTGGAAATCAGAGACGCCACTTCCGACTTAATAAACAAAAACCAAGATTGGTCAGTCTCGGTCAGCTTTTGTTTTCCTTTTGGATTGTGTTTTCCTTTCGGAATAGCTGCCTACTATACCTTGTGGTATAGTAGAGAAAGTGAAAGGGAAGTAGTGAGAGAGACAGCTGGCCAAGCCCGCTTCTGCTTTTTGTTGGCAGCCTATGAGAACCATCAGATAATTACCCTCCTGCAACCGTTAGTCTCGCGGAGGCTCAGGCGTGGCTCTTACCTGCATCCATCACTGTGTTACTCTTGAGGCTGTAGTCGTCTGTTTGTTTTGAGTAGGCTAGCAGTCAACAAGCCCTGTAGATCCTCCTGCCTCTGCCTCTGCCTCCCAAGTGCTGGGATTAAGGCTTGTTCCACCACACCCAGCCTGCAGTAAGTTTTGAAATTAGTCTAAATGGTGTAGCTTAGTTCCTTCTCAAGATTGTTTTGGCTGTTGAAGTTCGGTAAGACTCCATATGAAGCTGGAGGCTGTGGTACATGGTTGGTTGTTATCCCAGCACGTGAGAGGCTCAGGCAGGAAGATTACTGTACGTTTAAGGACAGCCTTGAAGGCACAGTGAAAGGAACCCTGTCTCAAAAGAACAGAACAAAAAAAGATTCCCTCTGAATTTTGGAATGAGTCTTCCTGAGTTGTGTAAAGAGCATTGTTGAGATTTTGTCAGGATGGCCTTGATTCTGTAAGTCATTTGGGATAATGTCATCATTTTAAATATGTTAAACTCACTAGTCCATGACATGGCATGCCTTTCTATTTTAGTTGTTTTCAGTTTCTTCAGCTGTGATGCTGTCTTGTGTAGGCTTTTCGTTTTGTTTTTGAGATAGGAGGATTTCTTGTAGCCTGGCACTGGTTTCATACTCAGCAAGCAACAGAAGACCTTGAATTTCTAATCTTGCCTCCAACCTCCTAATACTGGGATTATAAGCATGACCCACCAAGTTGGGCTTTCTATTGTATATATTTCTATATAAATCTGGGGACCTTTTAAATGTATGCTGGAATTTCACTAAAGTAGTCTGGTTTATCTTTCCTTTGGCCAGGAGAAGCATGTGTTGGCAGATTTGTTTACTACTTTATTGGGTTCTTACACCTCTCCCTCTCTTCCAGCCCTTATCTATCCCTTATCCCTTCCACTCCCCCAGCACTAGGTAGGAGAGAGAGAAAGTTAGAGGGGAAGGGGCTATAGACATAGTTCAGCCAACAAAGTAGTCTACTTCCTGCTGATTACGAGCATTGAGTTTCTTGGGGCTATCTTTGTTGTCAGTATATCTCAACTTCTCGTCTCTTTGCTCATGACCAGTGGGCAAACAACAGCAGCAGGAACCTGGAGGAGCTGCCAGCCCTCTCAGGGCTCTCATTCGTACCATCTCCAGAGTCCCCAGAATTAAACTATCTGCAGCTGGCATTAACGATGCCCCTGCTAGAGCACGAGGCAAATCGTAATCACCTGCTGTGAAGCAGCCTCTTATCCCACACCTGGGATTAAAACAAAAACATATTCACATAACTGGAGTTTGAAAGAAACCAAAATTCTCACTACAAGCATGTACTGTTCATGTGGATTTGAGTCTGCAGATGTGTCTGGACCTGTGTATGTATGGAGGCAGATGTCAGTCAGCATTAGGTGTTTTTCTTGACTCCATTCCATCTTGTATGTGCATGTGCACACGTGCATGCATGTGATCCTTGTGGAGGCCAGAGATAGGCATGGGATGTGAGATAGGGTCTCACTGATGTCATGCTCAGATAATGGGTATTTCCGCCGGCCAGCAAGCTACAGGGAGTCCCTGGTTCTGCAACCCCTGCACTAGGGCTGCAGATGTGTGCAACCGTGGATACATGAGCTCTGAGATCTGAACTCAGGTTCGCATGCTGCAGAGCATGCGCTTGACTGAGCCTTTTCCCCAGCCCTCCCTGTTATTAGTCTCTTCTCACTGAATCTATAACTTGTCACATTGGTTAGGTGGTGGGCCAGTGAGCTCACAAGGATACTTTGACTTCTGCCTCCCTTACTGTTGAAATATGTCACCTGGCTTTTAAATGGCTTCATGGGTGCTAGGTGTCAGTTCATAACCTAGGGTAGTCGTAAATCCAAGGCTGGGTGCTTCA